TCCGCTGGCGGGGTGCTGCGCCTGCTGCTGCACCAGCTCGGTGCCCAGGGTGATGAAGTAGGGGAAGATGGCCACGATGTCGATGATGTTCATGATGTTGCGGAAGAAGGCGGGCTTGCTGGGGCAGGCGGAGAAGCGCACGAGCAGCTCGAAGGTGAACCACACGATGCACAGCGTCTCCACCAGAAAGAAGGGGTCTGTGAAGAAGGAGCCCCCGAGCGCACTGAGCGAGGAGGAGCCCCCGGTCCCCAGGCCCCCAGGGGTGAGGCCAGGATGAAACGTATAGGAGTCGTCTTCATCCTCCTCTTCCTCCTGACTCCCCCTGGAAACGGGCGAGACTCGGCTCACACCACCCCCATTGCTCCCACCTCGACCATCTGCACGGAACTGGGGCAAGGTCTCCAGGCAGAAGATGACGATGGAGATGAGGATGACCAAGACCGAGACGATGGCGATGGCCCTGGCGGGCCCCGAACTCTCGGGGTACTCGAAGAGTAGCCACACCTGGCGCTGGAAGGGCTGGGAAGGCAGCGGCTTTTCGTCCTCGCCGCCTTCGGGCAGGCAGCCTTCGTCCTCCCGGAAGGCCGCGAGGGCCTCGTCCCCCAACTGGTAGAAGCGGATCTCCTCCAGGAAGATGTCCAGGGGCACGTTGACCGGCCTCCGCAGGCGGCCCCCCGACTGGTAGTAGTAGAGGATGGCGTCGAAGCTGGGCCGGTTGCGGTCGAAGAAGTACTCGTTCCGCAGGGGGTCGAAGAAGCGGGCGCGGCGGCCGGGGTCTCCAAGCAGCGTGTCCGGGAACAGCGACAGGGTGCGCAGCTGTGTCTCAAAGCGCAGCCCGGAGATGTTGATCACCACCCTCTCGCTGCCCCCGCCCCCCGGCCTCCGCCAAGCCACCCGCATCCTGTTGCTCCCCCTCTGGCCCACGGACCTCCCCCGGCGCCGCCAGCGTCAGGGATTTCTCCGATCGCATGTCCCCGCCGCGGTGCGCTCCCCGCCACTGGGACTGCGCCCCCGACACCACCTCTGGAGCGCGGCACCCAGCTCCCAGCGGCGCCCTGTCTTTAGGGTGGGGCTCGCGCTCCTCTGGCTCCGCGTCTGACCTGGCGGTTCCGCTGGTGAGCTCTGGAGCCCCGGTCCCTGCAAGGCTAGGTCTGGGGAGGTGACCTGGGCGCAGAGGATTTGACTCTTCTCTTCCAGTTACCGCGCCGCGGTGCCACAGCTTACTGGGATGCCTGGAACCGCAAACTGGCGCGCGTGAAACTGGCTGCCGGGTGACACGCGTGGCTTCGCCCCCCGCGGAGCCTGAGCCTGAGCGCCAGGACGCAGAGGTCCAGTCTCCAGATGGGCTGGCTCCTCCCAGTCCCCTCTGCGCTTCTCCAGCAGCTCAAGACCCTCGGCTTGCAGCTGGCACCAAAGCGCCAGATGCGCCTCCCTCCGGCTCGGCAAGACTCCTGGCGGGGCTCGGCCTCCGCCCTATGTCCACCGCTGGGCTATGTCTGGCCAAGGTCGTGGTTCTAGCCGCCGGCGCCGCCACCCCCCCCCCGGGGGGCCGGCCGCCGGCCCCAACACACTCTCCGAGTGACGTGGCAGGCCCCGCCTGCTGCCCCCTCCCACCCCACTCCCACATCACACCCCTCACCCAGCCAGGGGCTGCCGCCAGCCAGGGCGCTGTAGAAATAGACACACAGTCGCCTTCTCGGCAGTCTTTCCCGCGCTCTCCTGCACAAGCTGCATTCACGGCCCTCTAAACAGACGTCAGAACCCTAATACCACACCCCCTCCACCCCGAAATCCGCATTTCTCATTGAGATTTACCGAGTAGACTAGCACCCCTTCCACCCCAAAATCTGCACTTCTCATTGAGATTTACAGAGTGGGCCAGCGCAGTATGTTCAATAAAAAACACACCCCACCCCACCACCCAGTATTGCACTATGCCTCCACTAAGTAAGAAATTTAATGCAAAGAGGAAATCCTATTTGGTCCCTCTGTGTGTACGAAGACCCACTTGCCAATATCTACTGGGGAAAAATATAGGGGAAGTATGTTTGAAATGTCTCAAGAGCTTCTGGTTTAAATCATATTCCAATGGACTTCCCTCTAAATCTCCATTTCCAAACCTGGGAGAGTGAGGCTGCAACTTTCCCAAGGTTGCAGTGATAATAGAGGACGGCTGGAAACCCTACGGAGGCCTTTCTGGTCAGCAGAGTCCCTGGGGAGTCCTGGGAACATCAGGCAGCAGCCCCAGTGGAGAAAGGCAGACTGGCATTTCAGAGGTAACACGGCCCAGGGCCATGCGCCCACCTCCCTAGGAATGCACAAGGAATTTCTGTTTACTGGGCAGTGGAGAAAAGGGGGGAAAGGATGCACCAGAAGAAGGTATGTATTTACTGAGCATCTGACAGGTGCCAGCCACATCCTAATTGCTTCCCTAGGAGGATGGTGCAACATTTCGTGTTACAATGAATATCTCCTTGGCAGTATTCGGGTAGGGTGACATTTGCTGTTAAGGACCACTTGGCTCTTTTCCTGATTTGCCAGGAGGAAGGAGATAACCGGTTCCATCCCTTTCTGCCGGAGACCACATAGTTTATCTCCACTAGAGCAGACAGGTTAGCGAGGAGGACGTGGCTGACCTTTTCAGACGGACGCTTCTGGGTAGGGTCAGTGTTTGCTTCTCCGGACTTCGGTTTCTCTTTTTCCGGTTGGCGGGAGCTAGCGTGAATTGTGTCATAACTGCACGGTGTTTGTGTGTGGCTCCCTGTGCATTAGCAGTTCACTGGGGATAAAGGCGAGAGTGAAACATAAACGTGCTTTCAAACCACAGGATGCACAGAAGAGTTCTCTGTATTGCAGCAAGTGTTTTAAAACCTCAGCAGCATTTGCTCCCAAAGGGACGAGGAGGTCGGTGGTGAGTGGGCAATGATGCCAGCGCTAGATCTCAGCGCGTTCGCTTCTCGGATCTGTCCCTGTCAGGTCTAGCAGGCAAGAGCCTTTGCCTCCTCGCTCCTCCCCCTCACACCTTGCACGTCCCACAGAAGGGCAAGAAGGCAAGTGTTCAGAGTTACCCAACTGGTAGTTGTTCCATTTACAGCCCGTGTCATTAAGCAGTGTGGACTTCACCCCATGTTCCATTCAAAAAATAATTTTTTTTTTTAAGGAAAAAAAGGAAACCAATAACAAATACAATTTGGAAGATACGCTTTTACCCTCACCCAATTATCCAAAATTCTTTTCTGGGTGTTAAATTGATTTACCCATGATTCCTTTTGTTTAAGATGAATTATGCATTTGCATGTTTGTTTTCATCGCAGCTAGTTATATTCATGAGGTTGTCAACTAGGTCAGTAACGCTTCAGAGCAAACCTTGCAGGAGCAGCTAAAGCTGGCATTCTGGAAGACAGGGGCACAGTGAGTATGGTGGAGGAAACCCCCACGTGAACGCTCTTGGGGTAAGCCTGCTGACACCCTAAGGCAGAGCTGACGTTCCGTGGTTACCTTCACATCAGGCATAGGCTGGGCCCCAAGAGAGGCTTTATGGTGCACAGGGGGTTCCCCTGGGAGGGGAAAACCATTAGCAAATTCATGAATCAGAGTTCTGCTTTTAGTTCTTTTGTGAAATAGACTCATTTCTTAGCTTAGGAAAAACCCTTTGCCTGATCACTCCTCCTAAGCACGTATTCAGGTGGAATAAAATCACACCTGAAAAAGAGAATGAGCTCTTCCCAGAGACACACGACATAGTGCCCACGGGCAGGTGACCATTCACAGCGTCACGGACACCAACGGCATGCCAGCACAGCTTGTCTTCCTTGTCTCTAGGGTCCATCCTGGCACTAGGGTTCTTTCACTTACCGATTAAATATTTATCAAGCAGTTACTATCCAGTAACCATGTGGGTGCCCAGCACGCCGCCACGTCCTGAGGATTGAGCAGTGATTTCGACTCTTAAACACTTACTTACATCTTCATGCAATAAATACATTACATTCTAGGAAGAAGATGTTTTACAGTAAATGATAAAGAAGATGTTTACAGGCCAGCAGGTGGCATGGTGGTTAAGGTGCTGGACTCCCACCTGGTTAACCACGGTTCAAGTCCCAGATCCAGCAGCTTGAAAATCATACCATACCCAAAATCCCAAAAAGAGAAGGGATTGTGTCATGACCATCCCCCAGGGAGTGATTTCTCACTTTCCCTCTCTCTGTCTCTCTCTCCAGCAAGTGCACATACCCTATGGCCAAAAAAAAAAAAAAGAAAGATAGAAGACATTTATATATCATAGGCCCAGCATCAGAGGTGCAAGTGGTAGGTACTGCTGCATGAGGTCAGAGACATGGAAGAGGCCCGAGTTCAGTTCCCAGATCACTTAAACAGGCCATGCACCGTGTCGTGCCCCTGTAGTCCCAACTAACTGGGAGGCTGGAGCAGAGGATGGCAATAGCAATGATTTGTCAGAAATACCTCTCTCTCTCCCTTCTCATCTCTCTCTCTCTTCCATGGGGGAAAAAAAAACTTTTAGAAAGCTGTTACACAGTGTAGTAAATGACTTGAAGAGGCTAAATGGTGTGTTATGTCTGAAATGACTGTGGGTTCAGCTTCGAAGAGAGTGGTTGGGAAGTTCCCCTGAAGCTTCCATGATGAGATGAGCTCAAGCGTGCTAAGGGCAGGGGAGCATTCTGGCAGGCCAGTACAAACGCCCTGCCCTGGGGAGTCTGCGGGTGTCCCGGGAGCTTCAAGAAGGCTGTGCACTGGGGGAGAATGGGCAGGGGGAGAGAAGGGCAGATGAGCCCGGAGGAGCAGCGGGTATGAGCAGAGCAAGAGTTCTGATGTTCTCCCTAGGGTGATGTGAAGCCATGGATGGTTCTCAAGCAGAGGAGAGAAATGACGCGATTTACATAGGCGACGTGAGGAGGATGGACTGCAGAGGGACAAAAGAAGAAATAGAAAGACAAGGAAATTATAGTAGTCTGGGAGAAAGATGAAGGCAAGTTGGACTACGGTAAAGATGGAGGGGGTGGAGACAGGGTGGGTCGGGGGGAGTTGGGAGGATTGAAGAGGTAAATTTAGGAGATAGAATTTATCAGA